AGAAAACTATGTAGTTTAATTTAAAAAAAAGTAGATTTTAAAAAAGTATTTTTTGACTTATTTTTATATTATTCAATTATTTATATTATTTAACTATTATTTAATTAAATAATATGTTAAATATTTAAAAATTAAAAATTATTTTCAAACCTCTTTTGAAATCTCCTTCGATGGCTAGTCGATCTCCCCTATACTTATTTATTATAAATTGTTTTTTTTAATTATCTTACTTTATTAAATTTATATGTATTTTAAAATTACTTTAAAATTACATATATTTTAAATCCCTAGTTTTAGGAGATCCACTTAGGGAATTTTAAAATTAGATTTTCCTTATAAATAGCTTCCATGGGGGAGAGTATTAATGGGTGGTTGAGCTTCAATCATCCATAAATTGTACTGTTAAGCACGCTTATCTTTTTTTTATCGTCTTTTGCATGTGTAGGACACACGAACTCTTAACATATGTCCTCTTAGATCCTAGGAATTGGTGTGTTTACTATTTTTATGTATCCCTTGCATGTTTCCTTAAAGGTTAGTCTAAAACTCAATTTAAAATCCATTTAACGTATTGACACCCTAAATATAATAATTAAGGACACGTCTAGTGAATATAAAAAAATTTTAAGAGCTAGGATAGATCCTTGATTGACATGAAACTTTCAACACTTAAACTTAATGATATTATAAACCTTCCAAAATTTTTTTAGGAATTTTTAAGAGCCTTTAGACCCTTTAATTAACAAACCCTAATTTACCCATTAATTAGGCCCCAATAACTTCAAAAAATTCTAATAAATCCATTTTAACTCAGAAAATCACCCATAATATCTCAAACTCTCTAAAATTTGTTCCTTAGCCTTAGATAATTAGGATCTCATAATTGGACTCTAATTTAAGCCTTAATTTAACTTTACATAAAAATTACCCTTTTGTCTTAATTAAATAATTAAAAATTATTAAAATCTCAAATTTACTCCAAACACTTGGGAATATCTTTTTAGGTCATTTCTGACCTTTGAGGGTGATTCCAATTAGTTTGGAACTGATTTGGATCAAAACTCCTAAATCATCCCATATTAAATAATTTTAATAATTCCATAATTAATCTTTTAAAATTCATATCATGGCCTAGTAAACTCCAAATCTAGTAAATTCAAAGCTTAACTACTCCTTGTAAAGCCTAATATTTTACTAAAATTCTAAAACTTCCAAAACTAATATATTTCCTATAGTGATTTTTTGGACCCATAGTTTAGCATGTACGAGGATCTAGGACCTTCCAAAATTGACTAATATAACTTAAACTTCAAAGATCATTGCATTAAGCATTAAAAATGGATCAACAAACTAAATTAATTAAAATAGATTCCAATCCATTAATATTTAAACTTTAATCAAAATTTTTTCTTTTGGCCTCTAATAAACTCAAACTCTAGATAACTTGAACCAATTACCTGATATAGAAGCTACCCAAAGCCACACAATCCTACTACACACACATAGAATTGGTTGTTAGGGCACCACTTCTAGTTTTGGGATTAGGGCCTATACTTTACTTTCTTTTTCTATTTTTTATGTTATGATGCCTTGTGAGTGGCACGAGTGCTGGTTGATTTCCCTGATATGTTTGATGATTGGTGTGATATCCTATTTTATTACTGTAATTTTTCCTCTATGATGTGATTTGTGCATTAGATTACCCATGGGCTAGTACCACTTTTATACTAATTCAGTCTTATGTAGGTGGCCACGCTCATGCAGCGCTAAAATAAAGGGGGCATTAATAATTAAGCTTTAAATACTAACATTGTCTTCTACAGATGCTCCAGAGACTTCTTAGCCCCCTTTAAATTAAAAAAGCGTGGCCAAGCATGTTTACTTTTTTGGGATGTGATGTATAAATTGCTTGGATGTTTATTAGGATAACCATGTAGGAGTCCGGGTCTAGATTTTTTTTATAATATAATGTAATTTGTTATACATTGAGCTGTGAAAGTCATTAAAAATCTGGCATTTCAAACACTCGGTATCCAAAGAGAATAAGAAAGGTCAGTTATTGAGAATTTCTAAGTCATTTGAGTATCCTTCCAAAAGACGAACTTGATGGAGCCTAAATGAGACGATCCAAAAGGAGATGATACGAATAAGGATGATCCACTCAAAGATGGAGACTTGAAGATGAAATGCCTGGCTTTTAAGACTTGCGTCTTTCATTAAGATTAGAATCCAGGTTATTGTCTGTGGAGCCTTATACTTATATGTCACTTATCGTGGACTTTGGACTTTATTTTTTGTGTTATCGATTTATATTGCTATATTTATTTTGAGTGCGCATTAAAATTGTATGTTTTTTTCTAGGTTTCTTTCTTGCATGTGCTTGGCCTGATTTTTCGCTAGGCTCT